GTCACAAGAAAGCCTTGCCAATGCATATAAAGTGCACTGCTATTTCTTCCAGTTTTTTCTTTCCATAATTCTGAGAAATGGAAATGAAGGCTTATACAAAGTTGCACAAACAGCAGTTTAGAAAAAAAAACAACATTACAAGAAAAAGTACATTTTTAAAGCCACTGGTATTTTTAATGACCGTCTCTGTGTTCTAGTGGTCAGAGTTCCTGGCTACAGATCCAGAGGTTCCGGGTTCGATTCGCGGCACTACCAGATTTTCTGAGAAGTAGTGGGTCTGGAACAGGTTTCACTCAGCCTTGTGAGGAGCTATTTCAAGAAATTAGCGGCTCCGGTCTAGAAAACCAAGATTAACAGCCGTGGTGATTCGTTGCGTTGACCACGCGACACCCTCTATCCACTAAAGTTGGCACTAACTTCGCTGACAGGCTCAGTCAGTATAGTTCACTTGTGGACTAAAACCACGGAGTTTGTTTGTGCTTTGCTTTTGTTTGGTATTTTTAATAGTGAAAATCATGTATAATTCAGTCATAATACTGCACAGTTTTCTATACTTAACATTTAAGTAATACAGCACTTTACAGGCCATATTCAAAATTGCAGATTATCATTATGCTTATAGTAGGCAGAACTGTAAGATTGATAGGCCAGTTCATTCTGCAGGAAGTAGACACATACAGATTCAGAAAGATGACCCAGAAACACATAAATAATATGAAAAACAATACAATTGTAACATCTCATCTGATACCACAACTGCAACCAAACCAGAATTATATGAAACAGATTAGATTCCAACAGAACATATAAAACATTGCATATTATCATTAAAAAAAAGCCTTGGAAATGAACCATGTTACCTCAAAACTTCCATGCTCGATGTACTGACAAGCAGCAGAAACTGAAGTAAACATTGTTGACTTATACAATTTAATAGCACAAGTTCAAAATTATATGTGAGACATGAGGTTCACATACATGGTGGTGGTTACAAAGATGTCTGTCTCCTAGGATGTGACTCGGTGTAGTCTGGTAGACAGTTACCAACATTTTGGAAAGCTATGCTGCCTCTGTCTTCTACCCTGAAGACTGAGGTATCAGGTTCCTCTGAAACACTGGTAACTACGTACTTGACTACATAAGAGTCACATCCCATGGGACAGTAATCTTCAAAATCATACATTCATATTTTATGAAGCAGCTTCTAAGTACCAAAATCTACAAAGCTTCCAAGTAGCAAGTGTCATCTTGGGGTATTACTGAGCTTCATCAAACTATTTTATCAGCATACCTATTGTTTAATCCATATCAGGCAACACATAAAATTGTGAAGCAAAAATACTGGTGATCATTCTTTATTTTCCTGTATAAGGAATGTTAAACACAAACCCACCCAACGGCAATTTCCAGCTGCACTATGGCCCTGGGGTTGACTCAGCCTCTTAACAGAAATGAGTATGAGGAATAGTTTTGGAATATTCTTGGGGGTAAAGGGCAGCCAGTGCTTATGGCTGACAACCGTGCCGCCATCTATGAGCCAAATGTCTAGAAAATGTGGGAACCTCAACATATCACAACCCTATGGACTTCCACAGCCCATTACAGGGATACCTTTACTTACTTTTACCTATGGGCAATTAATGGAAATCAAGATTCAATACGAAGGAATTCACTGCTTGTAAACTCATTGATTCCAATGGTTATAGTAAATAATTCAAAGAGATAAGCAGTCACCCTTTTAACTGCTGTATATTTTTATACCGAATTTCATGACATACACTGTAAATATGTTTGAAGTATGAAAAGAGTAATTCCCTCAACTGATACAAATACACATAGCAACGTTATCTAAGAAGGAAGTTTTGAGGCTGTCACAGCAGTGATTGTTCAGAGTGTAGTCTTGTGGGTTTTTACACTGTTTAGTCTTGTAAGCAGATACTGAAGGTTTGGAGGAACATTTCTCTGACCTTTCTTTCAATGTGCCCAAATAAACAAGCCAATTCCTCAGTCTACAGACTTTGAACCCTGAAGATGGAGGCAGCACGTTCCTCCAAAATGTCAATATCAGCCTACTAGACTACGTGGTGTCACATCCCAGAAGACCATAATCTGAACAATCTATCAAGTAATACAAGATACCTCATCTCTCATGTTATTGTTGAAAAAAATCCAAACATTAAATCATAAATTGTGTGATTTAATGGTTATGTAAATCTAAATCTCAAATTAATTTATGCTGCAAAGTAGTTAATATCACCAATTTTAATTTAAACCATGAGAATATCTCAAATTCAGGTTAAGATATACAGTCTTTACAACGTTAATCTGTTCTTCTAATGTTAAATTTAACAGTATTCAGCATACCATGTTCCTATTCTGTTGAACAGAATATCTGTAATGACTGTCACAAGCCAGTAAACTGGAATCAGATAACATGAGTTAGATGGTGCTGCTACATGTGTACATTGCTCTTCTTATTTCTGTGCAGTCTACTGTCTTATGCCACATAACTTACTCTCTGTTCTCATAAAAGTTATACTTCCAAGTCACTTTCCTTACAAGTAAATGCACAACTACGCACTAGAACAAGAACAACTTATAAAGTTACTTTCTTTAAATCCTACTTCTACACACTCTGGCTCTTCTTGCCTTTACAGTTTTATCACATCTTAACACTTACTGGAAGAAGCTACTGTGTGTGTCTGTGCAACACATACACAGTCCTTTAACACAGTTAATGACTAGTCATTATACAATAGGCTTCATGACTTTATATCATAACTTCAGGAGGTCATTCTGCATGACGAATATTTTACCAAAGTTGGTATGATTCAAATAGTTACACAGCTATGGGTATGTAAAGTTAAGATCTTAACTTGACAAGCATGTTTACTGTAACAAGAAATGACACTTAATGGTCATACATGATTTTCCATTACCTGCACTTTCACTGCTGCAACATATCTCAAAAATGTCCATCTTCAGCTCTGACATGTATTCTTGCCCATTTAATGACAGAACAAGTAACATGGTGAAGTGTCTCAGTCACTGACATGTTTGGCTGCATCAACAGTGCCCATCTCGTGTTCATAAACAAGATCTTTCACATGTCCCCACTCATGGAAGTGAAGGAGGTTTAGGGCCAGTGACTGCAGGAGCCATCTCTGCAGACATCTGTGGCCAATCCAGACCCTGCACTGCATGTCTACTGATATGTAGCAGTGCGTTCCAATGCACACATAATTCAGTTAACACACCATTTATCCCTATCCATAACTCCATAACCACTGAGAACTGTACACACGTTGATGCAACACTTTAAACTCAGAATGGCCTCAGGAATAACCTTCTGATGTTATGACACAATGTCATAAAATACCAATTTTAGCACTCTTACTCCACTGTCCCTGTGAAACTTCATCCATATATTCAAATTCATGCTTTTAAAGCTCTTTGCCTTAATACTATGTTTCGGCCTAACTGGCCAGAGCAGCTACGGCCAGCACGAAGGAAAGAAACCAACACACCAGAAAACATACACCAAACATGTGTGCACAATGAGTATAACCATATTATTATTATTATTATTATTATTATTAGAGGGGGTGGGTTTCCCCATGCACTTAGACCAGTTATTGGTCCATTGTGCGTCTCCCTTTAATGTCTACCGTCCCCATACCCTACCGGTACTGGTGCATGCTATCAGTCCCGTTCAGCCAATGAGGTCAGCCGTCGGTACCTGATATTTTCCCCCATCTACCAGAGGCATTGGAAACTACTTGGGCGGGAAACTGTTGCCTAATTTAGCTCAGAGGTCTCCTAGAGACATGAGGATCTTTAATGTGCCGTAAATGTACGACACGGGACCCACGGCTTAACCTTTAAGTGCTGAAGTGCCCCGTTTGTGCCAGTCATGAGTAAGGTTGTCGTGGCCAAAGTACCCAGTTTTGGCCAGTCAGGCATTTAAACTCCGCTAGTGGAAGTGCGCGCACACGCCGCTAGTAGAAGCGCATGCACAGTCCTAAATATTTATTTTTAAATGTAGTAATTACCAGACAGACTTGAGTAAAACCCTAATAGAGGAATTAAAATAATACCTAACTGAACAACAGCAAATAAAAATATATGTATGAGTTATGCCAAAACTTATCCACGATCCAGTAATGTTATTGCAGATTCTGCAGATAGGTATGTTAAAAATATATCATAAAATTCAATGTACATACCTTTTTTGTTGTTATCTGCTTGATGTATATATAGGTTCAAATAAAACTACAGTATTCGATTTCACTACGAACGCACACAAAACAGATCACGCTCTGTGTCTCAGCCACGATGCAGCTGTCTTTTCACTCAAATAAAAGGGGCAATAAGCTTTTGCAGCTCTAATGGAAGGTCTTAGCACTGAAGAAGGGACCCCTCTAGCTTTCTCATCAATAGCCATTCTTTCATTCTTCTGACCTTCAGTCAAAAATTCGAAAATCCGAAGGGTGTAAGCAGTGCTAGCAGAAGACCAAATGATTTTATTGCTTCCATCTGTTTTATGACACCAGGGACTGCTAAAATTTGTCACGTGTTACAAACAGAAATGAATTTATAATGCAGAACAACTCTGTGAAGAACTGGGAAACCATTTTTGCAGTACGCATCAAAATTAAAACACAAAAAACTGAAAACAGAGTATAACATTTTGTATTAAAAATTTCAAATCTTCCGTTATAATATGCGACACTATGTTCTTTTCTGATATAAACAAAGTTAATTCCATCCATTTATCATAAAAATTGAGTTAGATACAGCATTTTTAAACACAATGCTTAAAATTGATTAAGCGCCTAACAGGAACAGACATTTAAATGCAGAGTAGCAACAGGCATTCAAACGAGCACCAGCAGCGGGCATTTAAATAAACTCCGGCCAGCTGAAGCTTACCACTATTTCGAAGGCTGGCGTTTAAAGGTTAAAGTCCCTCCTGGAGGACTTGTTCCCTGAATATTTCCGCCCTTAAAAATTCCACAACCTCCGCCAGGTTTGAACCCGCGTACCTTGAGTCATGAGGTGAAGTAACCATAGCATGATAGTCTAAAAAATAACTTAAAACATTTATAAGCATTTCTTGTTATTGTAAAATGCAAAATACAACAGTGTAACAATAGAACAGTTGTTTTCATCTATGATCTTATACACCTGATTATGGCCACTCAGGCCAAAACATGTATTGTCAAATAAATAGTAAGAAGATATAAAGAGCCTCTGAAATGTGAATTTTAATATATGGATGAAGTTGCCCAGGGATGGTGGAGTAAGTGTGCTAAAATGGAACACACAGTGCAACAAGATACTGCAAAACAATACCACAAAATACCCTATATATACAACAAAGCCATATAACAAGCATTACAACAGCTCAAGTAATTGTGATTGTTTCTTCAGATACTGAATTCATAAGCACATTTTATGATTCCAAATATACAAATTGCAGAATAAGATACTCTTCATTATATTAGGAAGGAATGTTCTGATATGTTTTGTTTCAACTATAATGCACTGGCAAATAGCTATTAAAAATATACATGCCATCTCAAAAATACTACAATATATTATGCAAAATAGCTATCTATATTTATATACTACAAAAATACAAGTGACTGTTGCAGTGTACTCTTCTTGAAACAAAAGTGTAAGGTTCTGCAATCAGTGTAAAGTGAAATGCTTTTCTTCCTGCAATACTTCATGATCACATATGTCTATGAATGAAGTAATTCTGACATGTAGGCCATTAACCTATACAACAATAACTTCTTTAATATCTATATTTCATACAAACCATCTTCGAAATTTTAAGCTACAACACATTCTCTAGGTCCTTCTATGACTTCTCTTTAAGCCAAATGGTAGTTAATTTTCACTGGACCAGGAACCTATAAAGCACGTAGTTTACAAATACCTATGCTGAAGAACTAAGGGCTAGTTTCAAAGGCCAAAGGGAAAGATATTGTCAATATCAGCTTTCTGATTAATAATAAAATCTGAAATTGAAAATGCAGTTCCCTCAATATTTTTATTTACTTTATTATTTTAAAACTTTCCTTAACTATGATATGTATTTTGTTTGCACCTTCAAGTTCAGTAAAATATATTTTAACCTTCAGAATATTAACGATAATGTTCCTCAATCAAAAACTAAAGAAGTTTATAAGTCACAGTGATCACATTTATATATTTCACCTATATAAAACTCACATTTAAAGAATAAACTTTCTGTCCTGTTTGAATCAGAGCAAAAGTTCTTGGTTTGGCCATTAAAAAAACTGAGGTAATAAAATCAGTTATTTTCTAGAGTAAACGACTGTTAGATTAATTGGTTATTAACCCACTGGCAACCAGCTACATTTCATTGTGCTCCCCCACTATTTACGGTGCCCTTAAGCTCTGTAATGAGAATGATACCAATATCCGTTGTCACTTTCAAAGGTAGCATGATTTTACCTCATGCACAAAAGACATGTGAATTCTAGGATGTATTCTTGGTTGATTTAATGATGATTTCAAGAACTCAAATAGCATCAAATGACAGGGTCATTGGTAAATAATGAAATGGAAAGGATACGAAAGGAAGTGATCATGGCATAATTTCAGATGCCGTTAGAATATTGCCTGGAGGAACTGAGGAATAACCATGAAAAGCCTTGGTTAGAACAGCCAGTCTCTAGGCTGAGATGTGAACACAAGACCTCCTGAATAAAAAGCAACAGTGCTCCCCATGCAACTGTGACACATGATACCATGATAATATAGAAAAGAGGATGTACTTTATAAGGATGAAAGATACCCTAATTTTCAATCTTCATAGTCCAGGAATAGAATATTTAGACATCTTGGCATTACGGTACTGGCAGCTGGATTTTAACTTGGTGATAATGTAATGAAAGCCACATGACATTAGGCCTCATCGGGACTGATGGTCCCATGCACATACAATTGTATTAGTGTGATTAACAAATGACAAAGGTTAATGACACAAAGGTTAATATTTCACACACACTGTGATTTTTCTCAATGCAAAATTGATGTGGACAAAGATAATGATTGGAGAGTTTGCATGTCATATGCTCACAGAAGAGTTCACAATGTGGAAGAAGTCTCCTGTACCTTCTGTCTCCCTTTTCCATCTACCCTGTGTGGATACAGCATTTTTTTTCAGTCTGTAATAATTTTTTTATATTATTTCATAACATCAACCATGATGGTGCCTGTGGGCTGAGTGAAGTCTTATATTCCTGTTTTCCTCCAAACTTTCTTTATACAAGATCCCCTCCCATTAGCTACCATCATGCTCCACACCTCTACCCTTACTTCGCTGTTAGATTTAAGTATCAGGCTGTATCCTCCTTTTGTCTCATTTACTTTTTTGAGATGGTGACTGCTGTATGCTGAAACATGGGATCACCTTCAACATACACCACAACTAAAATCTGAAAGCCTAAATTACACATCAACCATGACTATTTACATTCTTAAACCAATGTATCTTTACTTTATAAATGTTATAATAATTTTGTTCTTCAGCGACTTTGACTATTAAATATGATCACTCAACTATGTTATATTCCAAAATATTCTTCACTGTTATACATTCCACATCAATTACTCTGAAGCAGTGTTGCAAACTTTAGATTGATAGTAAAATGAAGATTGCATGGACGATTATTAGTATCGCATGGGGCAATCAGATGATATTCATTCTTCTTTAATACTTAAAAGTGCCCAGAAGGATGCCTGAGACTCTAATGGAGTAGAGATCATGTTAGCACCAAGGGAACAGTTGGAAAACACTGCTCTGGAGCACAAACATTTTATAAATGTTAGCATCTTATTGGTTTAACATAATACTGCACAGTTTAATGTGTGCCTAGCTGTATCACATACCTTCATCTGAAGTACTGTTCTTATTTAGCAAAACAACTTTACAAGAACTGGATAAATGTATGATATTAGTTTCAGGGCAGCCTTTCTGTTAGTCCCATCTGTGATAGCATGATAAAACAAACTACATAACAGGTCCTTGTAAAAATCATTCTTTGGGACACAGGCCATATATTAATGAGACTGTTCTTAATTTAGGTGAAACTTGACCAGGAATGTGTCAGAATATGCCACTCTTTTCCTGTGCATGCTGACTACATTAAGACATATTAAAATACAGTTGTTGCACAGTGTAATTCAACAGTCTTTTGCGTGTTGAAAACCCATCTTCCACAAAGAGACCAAATACATCCATGCTACAAGGTTATTAAAGTACACATACATTTTTTACCAGCAGAATGAAGGAAGACAAATCAGACTTTTCAAATATCAAATTATCATCAATAAATCCATGTAACCAAATATTGCAGTAGTGTGGATCACACTACTGCTTCATATTTGGAGGTTTCCAGTTCAAATCTTGGCCTATAAGCTGCTATCCTGGTTGATGACTTTTGTGGTTTTCCTTAGCCTCTCCAGGTATGCTGGAACAGCAGTTTAAATTAGGCCATAACCACTTCCTTCCACATCCTTTACAATTCATTATTAATCACCTTATCACTTGACATCTCAGTGTCTCAGCTATTAAAACCTTTATTAATGAACCAGAAATAAATCAGTTCATTTAAAACAAACTTTATTTTTCTAGGATGTGCAAGCAGTAAAAATCCCAAATCTATAAGAACAATGCACATATATTTTTGAAACTGTATTCTGTACCAAAAGCAACAGGAGACAAAAAAAAATTTAATAAGAAACATTGCACACTTTTTCCTACATGTAATCTAATCAAGAAAGTAGGCTGTGCCAGACACACAATAGATTTAAAACAAGAAAAGAGCTCCATTAGTATCAGTGCCCAAGAAGACCTTGTCTCATGGAGTTAAACTGTCTTAAGAACTTATGCTGCTACTTTCTATTTAGCTGGTTTTGAATTCTTCATGTGCTCTTACTCAATTCACTGAATGTATTCAATGCTGTTAGCATTTTTTTTTTGCAATTAGCTATGAAGCAACACAGATGAATGTTAAACGTAAACAATACATATAAATCTACAATCATCAGATACTAATGCAGTGATCCTCAGACTTCAGCACAAAGGCCTTCCTGTTTGATTCCAAACATTGCTTCATCCTTAACAACAGTAAGATACTTACTCCTCTACGTACAAAGTACATTAGCACACTAAATTGTTACAAATAATCCCCCAAATACAAGTGTGGTTCCTAAATTCTGTTTTATAAAGTATCAAATAATTACATTTTGGAGAAAAATAGTTCAGTAACGGCAAAAAAAAAAACTCAAGCCCATTCTTATAACATCCCCACTTGTGTCATGTGTATTAACATCTGATATTTTCCTATATTCATGGATAAATTCTTTTAAAAGCAGAACTGCACTGCCTACTAAAAACACCAAGGACAGCCTAGTGTTTTCATACCAAATCACAGGTTCACAATTTATTTCCTGACTCATTATATCCTTATATTTGGTAAATTCTACTATATTTCCTTTACACTCCATGATTGTGCTCAAAAAATTCTATGAACAAGACTACAACTGCTGAAATGAAATTTATGAAACCAGTGACAAAATACACTTATATGGGTTATAAAACAATTACAAAGAGAAACCATATTGAACAAAATTTAAAAAAAATGTAAAGTCAGTTTGATTAAATATGTTGACAGATTGCAAAGAAAGAGATGTTTAAAATTATAATACTATAAACCACACAAAGAAGGAACCAAAGAGGACCTCTGAAGAGGTTACCAGACAGATGAGGTAGGAATGGGTCAAGTGGTCAAGTTCCGTTTGTTAGAGGATGCTGATGAAAAATGATAACTCATTTGGTACCATACAAAACATTTTTAGATGTACCTCAGACCTACAAAATGATAAACATTATATTGACTAAAAGTGTCTATACCCAGTACATAGCTCTTAACAAGCAAATAGCTCCAGAGAATAAAATTTTCAATAGCATTGCACTGAGAGTTCAACAGAAACAAAGTTAGCACCAACAAATAATTCAGAACTCTACTGTTTGCACATCCTTGCACATCCTTATATAACAATGTGCATTTTTAACTTGGAATTATATGAGGTATTTGATGAGGTTCATTGTGTCTGTGGAATGGTATGTTTGTTTATTTTTTTGTTTGTTTGTTAACCTTCATCTCCATCTGCTGATTTTTGTGGTCGTAACGTAGCTTCTACAACATCATCTGCTGTTTCTGTTGTGTGCTCAAGGGTGTCAAGACTTGCAGCTCCAGACAAATCAGTACTTGCTTCAGCAGTCCCAGAAATAACTACAGTATTTTCCACACTCATTAATGATGTTTCTGCTGCAGACACTGATGTTGAGTCAGCACTGGAAGATTCATCAGAAAGCTTCTGGTGCAATGACTTCTCTGATTTTGAAGGCCTTAAAGAAAGTAGCGAAATCTGGAAAAGTTGCAAAAATGTATGAGTAAGTATATACGAGTAGTTTGTCTCAAACATGTTTCCTGCCCATTTTGACGCTTCTGAACAGAAGTCTGACACCATAATTATATCAGTTCGTTGTTTATCTCTCTCAGAAAGTATTCAGATATTAATAAAAACAAAAAAGCCAATTTCATTTTTTTCTTGCATTTGGATAATGCAGAATTCAAGTTTCCTATTAAAGCACTTAATGAGTTTGTTGCAGAACCACCTTAGAAGTGTCTCTTGTTTAAAGTGTTTTGGTGACGAATTCTGTTATGAGATCATAACATGAAACATGTATTATTCATTATCATAATTTAATGTTTCACTTAAAACCCTCATCATGCATACATACACAATTTGTATGTTCTATGGTGAGGAATACAGCCACTTCACTGAAAGAATGTCCCTTGGATAACCTGGTGGTAAAGAGTTTGCACAAAAATTGAAGATTTGGGGTCACAATTGTTCCAAGACAATGAACATCTGCAACTGTGGTGTGAAATGTAATGAAGATGATCTGCTGGCAAAGGATGTGTGTATGATTCTCCAATATATATACACATTTACTGTATTGAATGTGTGAACATTTAATAAAACTGAAATAGCAAAGGTTCTACACAAAGGAACAACTACAAAAGCAAGTGGAACAAGATCAGAAAAAATCTTATATCAATCAAACTTAACTTCTCGAATTCCTTAGAAGGTAACTGCTGCAAAATTTGGACTTTGCCAGATATGACTGCTTTGCCAAATTAAATTCTTTATTCATGAATTATATGCTTTACAGGATAGATGGAGAGACTGAAGAAAATTAGTCCTGAAGTGTGATGTATTAAAGGACAATCTAATATAGACATATGGGGATGTTAGACAGGAAATAACACAACAGTCAATACCAAACAATTAGCCACAATAAAAAAATGTAATATATATAAACATCAGTACCTTCCTTTGTTCAAACCCTGGAAGATCAGATGAAGATTTTTTAAGTTTTGACTCAAGCTGTTTGACATCATCCCGAGTTCTGACTCCAGCAGCTTTAAGTATAGCATCAATCTTCTCTGGATACTCGCTGTGACCTGTGACCAGTAGAAATTAATACAGAGATTAAAAATCTCTGGAAATATTTATTTGTTGTTAGAATTTTTAATTTAATTAATTAATGTATTTATATTTCATTTAACAGTGACCAGTAGCTCAGACTACATAGTATCAAATGACATTATGGGGTTCAAACATACAAGGTGCTATCGGGAAGTTTCTAGACTAGGTCAAAAAAGAAACGCTGGCTTAACTTACTCAATTATGTCTGCCATCTCCTTCAAAATAGCCTCCCATCATTTTTTCAAGCTTCAGAAGCACCATGGAAGTCATTTTCCCTAATGCTGTTGAATACTCCTTGTGATTCCCTTTGGATGTCAGACACAGTTTCAAATGTTGTCCCTTCAGTCTCATTTTCAACTTGGGAAACAAAGCAAAATCACAAGGGCTAAGCATGACAAGTAGGGAGGATGGGGAACAATAACCACGTTGTTGTTAGTCACAAACTGTGTGGTTTTCAAGGACATGTGGGCAGGTGCATTGTCATGAAGAAGGAGCCAGTTGTGGTTGCGCCCAAGTTCCGGTTTTTTCGTCGCACATTTTCTCTCAAGTGTCTCAACAGCAATTAGGCTATTAGCTGCCATGACCAAGGAATTAGGGTCTGATTATTGACAGGGTAAGATATGTTTCTCTTCTCCAGTGCACAGCCTCCTACCCAAAAGATACTGTGGGCTCTTTCAGCCAATGTGAAGTGGCTAGTGCATGAAGTTAACTATTCACTGAGGTTAAAAATGTATACCTCCAGTCCCCATGTCTTCATGGTGTGGTGCTTAATTAAGCAAGGGGAGAACTTTAACTCATCATCTTATAGGATAACTTCAGAAGACACAATGTTCATGTGATTAAGAATGTTAAAAGAAAATAAGAATTCTAAAAGAAGAATACTGTTATACATTATGTTAACTAGAGACAGGATTTGGAGTGGTAACTGGATTTAATGAACATTTACAGATCATAGCTACAGTTAACTATAGTTAATTCACACACTCTACAGGACTGCAGTGTGCACTAAGTCTTTCCAGTCTGTCATGTCTTCACTGGTTGTCACCTGTTAACATTCCCAATGCTGTAGATGTCTCAGCTTCCATGTTCCACGGCTTTGGTCCCTTCTGGCTGTTGCCTATCTCACGACTAACTTCAATGTCTCAAGACTGTATTGTTCTGCCACTGGCATCCTAGCTAGGGCCAAGGACCTCCTCAGACCAGGACTGCCTTCCTCTGAGCTCGACTACCATGTGACCAGACTCAGCCCAAAATCAAAGTTACTCTATGACTGGCGGTTTACCGCTAATCAGTTCATCTAGGCATCATACCCCTTGAGACTAATGAGCAGAGATCTTTCTTTTTTTTTTCAACTGAGTCCCTGTGGTAAGAGTCCTTATGTAAGATCCTCTCTGACAAGAAGAGAGGTTTGTCTCTTATGAATATGCTTTGCCTTTCGTCAAGCGTACGTGTTGCACATACAGCATACTATTGAAAATTCTTCCTTTTGCACTATATACAAGTCCTCTGCCAGTACAGGTTTTGCAAAGAAAATCATGCCTATCTTATGTATCTTATTCTACAACAGCAGCTTGGTCACTTGAACAGTACTAAGTTTGACCTCTGCCAAGTTTAAGCTTCTTATATGTACTAGACTCATCTGTGTTTCAATTCTTCAGATATAGCCTTATGGTGGACACCACAGAAAACGCCTCTTCTTGCAGTAATTTTGTTACAGTATGATGTGGTAGTTGAGGTAGACTGCACAGAAAACTCCAATTCCCAGAGTTTCTTCACTGCTGTCATGGAAACGTGTGTTTATTGTGCCACTGTTCAGCATTGTGCCTCGGCTTTCAGGAAATATGTCACAACATATTTTCTGGCATTCTGTATTTATTTATGACCAAAACGTTTCCAACTCTGAGGCTCCTGGGTTTGAACTAATAAACAATGGAGGACAATTTTAAATCTTCTGTCTGTCTACTCATGACATACACTTAATCAGTGGGAGGTGTTTTCCTGTGGAGGTAATTTTCAGTTAAGAGGCATCATGTAGTCCACATATGTTGAAAATTTTAGAAGTGTCTATAAGTGTCTATGTACTGGAAATTTAAATGACACAAATTCAAGTCAATAAGAAACAACGAAGATAAGTATAAATACCCAGGTTTGGATTTTCACTCACCAGAAACAATATCACTCAGATCAATATTGTACATTCGCCGGTCCTGCACATCAATTGGTTGTAATCCTGCTACGTCACTAGACATGGAGAGCGTACGATACAAGAATTTTAACAGCCAGTCACTCCTGTGACAGAAGAAGAATTTATGACACACAGTTTATACACTTTTACTATTTACTTACTTGTGCCAGTCAACTACCTTTATACTAACACAGTGAAAACCTCATTTAATGTTCCTCAATTAAAGTTTTCCAGTTATTCCATGTCAGTAATCTCAGTGATAAATTTTTGCTATATAAGATTTTCCTCAAATCCATTCAGCCACAAAGAAACCTTTGGGGGTTTTACTCTGTTTGGGTTAAGCAAGGAAGATCAAATTGTGATTCACTTTCTGAGTACTCTAGTGCAAATAAAGGACAATGCTGTGTCCTGGCTTCACTTCTACCCTATTCAAACATTGTCTGAAACCTATGAGGAACAAATGTATGAGCACACTTAATTCTGCACAATAATATATCATTAATTGACACTACAGGGACACTAAGTATGTGGTAGTGTAGTGGTTAAGGTACTATGCTACAAGCTGGAAGGTCGCGGGTTCAAGTCCCAATGAGGTCATTGGATTTTTTAAATTGACCTAATCCTTCCAGCTGCACTAGGCCCTGGGGTTTACTCAGCCTCTAACACAAATGAGTACCAGAAATTAATTAAATAATTTTCCTGGGGAGTGAAGCACGGCCGGAGCGTAAGACTGACAACGTTACCGCCATCTTTGAGCCGATCGTCAAGGTAATGTGGGAACCTTAACGTCTCACAACTCTATGGGCCTTCACGGCCTGTTACAGGGATAGCTTTACTTTTTTTTTACTTTACAGGGACACTAAACCACAAATCCTGACAACTGTCTCTGGTTTCAGAACTTACAACAAACATTTCAAAGCTTTACGTCTAACTGTGCTTTTCACTAAATGGGAATGTGAATATATGTTGCAGTCCTGTCCTCTTGTCTAAACCTGCAGCTTAAAATGAAACACTTGCCTGCAATAACCATTAACAATCTTTCCAGACACAACTCTCATTAGCTTCTGCCAGTCTTTGGGAGCACCTGTCACAGGTGTTCCCAGCAGTATGGCATCCTGTATTATTCCTTCACATCTGTCTCGCTGTGACATCTCCTGCAACATTGGAAGTCAGAGCATAACACAGTCATGTGCAGATGTTCTAATACATGTAATATGAAACTGATGGTAACATATCAGGATGATTATGAAGGATGAACTGGGATAGACGAGAGGAGAAGCATCTGAGGTTTATTTAAAATGGTATGGGAACATTATTTTTGATGTATAGTAACATATAAATACTTTCAGATTTTTTGCATTTGCAAATACTGGGAAAAAATGGGACTACAATGAGACAATACATCAGCTATTCATAGACTTCAAGAAAGCTATGATTCAGTTAGGAGGGAAGTACTGTAAAATATTCTTATAGAGTTTGGGGTACCCATGAAACTGTTTAGGCTAATTAAAATATGTTTAAATGAAACGTACAGTAAAGTCTGTACAGGTAAATATTTGTATGATAATTTTCCTATCAAAAATAGTCTAAACAAGGAGATGCTTTATTCCAAATGCTTTTCAACTATGCTTTAGAAACTGCCATTAGGAAGGTGCGGACTACATGGCATTACATCTCAGACGACAATACTCCGCATAATCACAGCACAGCCTAAAATCTCACAGTTTTAACCACTGATCCAATTTCAAGTACATGGCCTGACGGATCTGTAACCAAAAGAAAATTAAAAGAAAAATCTATCAGGTACTCGTGAAATTTATAGATGGCAGATCAGAAGAAGAAGATAGAAACATAGGAACAAACAGAAACAACAAGAAGACTTAATTTAAAAATGTATTTTAAAAAGACAAAAGGTATACAGTGGAGAAAATTAGAATCAGGGCATGCTTACCCGGAGACAATAATAAATGACTCGTGCACCCAGACTGAAACCGATGAGTGTGACTGGTCTCTGTCCTTGTTCCCGAGATAGGAGAACCTCAGCCAACTGTTTCCCAACCTCAGCAGATCGACGACAGCATACACCCCATGGATTGTCTATTACTGATGCAAGAGTGATAAGGGAAGATGGCCATGCTATCGCATTTATAAGTCCTATAACAATCATTATGGATATTATGGATACCTAATACCTTGATATTTGAATATAAAAGTGTACATGTATTTATGTGCATGCATGTGCCCCCCACCCAACATGCAGGCGCGCGCGCACACAGAGCATTCCAAATCTTTTGCAATTTTGGAAATAAAGCCTTTATGGAGAAAGACCAACTGCTTTGTAGTAATGGGCAATGAATGTGTTTACAACGATATCTAAAAGTTTGTGATGATGGTACATTAGTATAAGTATTATGTTTTTTGGACATTATCCATCATCTTGTCTTTATCTAAAAACCGTCCTCTTTAATTTTCAAAACACAAGGTTTTGGAGACTGAATTCTATCTCCGTCTTCAGGTAAAACTTACTCAGTTGGGCCCAACTGATAGAGCTAGTCCTTATCTAATTAATCCTTTTATACATATACACTACTTAGGTATGTTCTACACAGCTTACATTGAGTTTCATTGAAATCTGCAGAGATGATCGTTTTTATCATCTTTCTAAATGTTATTTTCTGCACCACCATCTATAGATAAGGTAAATTTGTCCCTGTGCTTCTCTAATTATGCACTATGCCATGAAGGCATATGGGAGAGTGGATGTATACATCCATATTTTCTTGACTTTAGCACTAGTTGTAGGTGAGTGGTCAGCTTCATGTCCTGGCTGCTTTACCTGCAGGGAAAGCGTCCCTGGTACCCATTGGATAGGAGGTTGGGTGGACTCCAGAGCCGGTCCAGATGATTTGGTGAAGAGAAAATTCTTGACCCTACCGGGACTCGAACTCTGACGCCCCAGCCATCCAGCCCATAGCCAGTCACTATACCAATACGCTTTCCTGGCTCACCATCTATATAGATTTAAATCTAAAGAATGGTTTTACAATGCTTAAAATAGCACACTAACCTGCCAACACTGTGTATTTCAGTGCCTCTTGTGCAGCCATGGAAACAGCAAAACTGAGAATTAAATCCATTGCTTTCCCTAACTCAAGGAGATAAGCAGATTCATAACGGAGATAATACTGTTCCCTTGAACTAAACAGGGATCTCCATGGCCGGATGAAGTTGTCATGGCGGTCATCACACAGCCAACCAGATATGGCAATGGTGATGTGAAGCTGTTGTGTAACGATCTGCGCACTAACATCCTTGCTGGTAACACTAGGAACTGATGATGTTCCGTTATCTGGCCTTTCTACCTCATATGCCTCATCTGCCTCATCTGCCTCATCAGATTCATCTGGGTTTGATGGTGTCAGATATCCAAAAGCAAATTCTTCAATCTCACCAACCCTTTTTCTCATTTTGAATCCTGAAAAATGTCATTAAATTTTCAGTCATAATACAGGTCTTTACATCTGGGTATACATTATGGCACATCTGACTGATGGAAAAAATTCCCTACGGCACATATTGGAGATATAACTACAGCAGTAGATTACGACATCATTTAGTTACTGTATTTTCTAGAATATATGGCATATTTTTATTCTGGAAATCCTGCCTAAAATCTTATAAACAGTCTGCCCATACATACTGATTTCTGTATCTCATCCCAGTCAGTTAAGAACTGAAGGATTGTCCCAGATATTAACTTTAAAACAATCTTGTATACTTATAACAAAATTTTGTCCATGAGGGAGATATCCGTTGTGAAACATCCTGTTAGTGATGCAGAATTCTGATGTATATTGCTGACAATGAGAACAGAAGCAATATAAAACATATGTGGTGGTTTATTTTATAACACAGCAGAACACAACTGCTGCTAACCACGTTTACATATTTTATATTTTATACTTGATGATAATTTCAATAATTACATTTATATAAACTCTTAAAAATTTTATGACATTTGGAAAATGGATCCATTTAATCATACACTTATGCAATATTTTACATTTATTTATTTATATATATTTGACAATGATCTCCACCCCAAAACATGTACTGCGACATTTATAATAAAATGACTATTTATATTATATATATTGTCATGTGTATGAGTGACTACAGATGGGATTTGGATAGGTAACTGGATTTACTGACCACGTACAGATCATAATTACAAGTAACTATAGTGCAATCACTAATTCACATACTCTGTAGTTCACTACAGTAGGTATTATTAAGTCTTTTCAGTCTACTGTATCTTCACCAGTCATTGCCTGGTAACTGCTTCAATGGTGGATATTCCCCTTACTCCTAATTCCCAAACTATTCCTGTGCTTTAGTTACCAGCTTCTGACAGCAACAGCTCACAATGACTGAACTGCACCAGTCCTCTAACTAACTAACTAACTAACTCACTCACTCACCAACAAACTCACTCCACTCCACCGCATGCACTGCACTAACTGAAAGGAACCTGGCTGGTTGTGTGATACAGCCTCAGAAAGGACTACATAGAAAACACCGCATCCAATAGTACTTCCACTGCAGTGTGTGGGCCACTGCATACCAACGGGTCTACATGCCATAATATGTTCCACATGTTCATAAAACTATAATCAACCCATTTATTGCTGTGTTGACGGATCCAGTGTCAGTGCCACATATATGAGGCCTTGCACCCATGGCTTTGCGTAATATTCCACCCAGAGTCCAACAAAAAATTGAAGCCAAAACCAGTGAGCAAATTTAAAAAATGAAAACTATAAGCATTATAACACACATAAATCCCTTCTTTGGGCAAAATCTATAAACCTTAATAGCTTTAGTAGGACAACAATGGAATATAAACATAAACTAAACAAATGCAGGGAATGAACTTCAAGAAGTAAAATTTCTTATATACCATTAAGAACATTAAAACAGATAAATTGGTACAAATAATTAATAAATGGAAACACCTGCATAACATCAACATAGTGTCTCCTTTTATTTCTAGTGTCTGGAGATGGGGAAAAGCTCTATCAGTTGGGCCCAAAATATAAGTTTTATATTGGAGGACAAAGACAGAGCTCAGCCTCAGAAAGGTAATCTCAAGTAAAAGGTATGACAATGCATAAGTCCAAAAAATTAATTCTATTAATATAATCACATGTTAGTGACTAGACATGGAGTTTCAATTGGTAATTGGATTTACTGAATGCTGTAACTCACAACTACAAATAATGACAACACTCTCATTAATCTACGTACATGCTCTACGAATCACTATAGCCCATGCTGTCTTCTCAGTTTGTTCTGTCTTCACTGATCACTGCTTGGTAGTGACTCCTAACAGGTGAGATTCCCCTGCTGCTGTGCTCATGGCCAACAACCAACCGTGCCTACTCACTCACAATTAACTACTTTGGTCAGTTAGGTCTGTTGGGTAGATTTTTGCTGGCCATTTCCGGCGAAATCAACCTTAGTTTTGAATATTATATTTAAGCATCCTGTTGCACTCCATACGATAAATGATATAAACTCCGTCTCAAGTGCAAACAATATATTTTGTGTCTTTTGATCTTGCTCCCTACACTACATGTTTCGGCCTCAGACGGCCATCATCAGGTGTATAACACTCACGTCGCTGTCACACTGCACCCAGTTCAAAATTTAACATCTAAAACACTCTCCCTGTCATTATCAACTTCTACTTCGTTGATAGCTGTCCACCCGTAGATTACTTCACACACGTTAATTTTGACTTTATTGTAATAGCACCATAATAAAATCTTTAGTTCTAATTTTAAAACTTTAAATTCTTGTCCAAATTTTAAAANTTTAAAATTAGAACTAAAGATTTTATTATGGTGCTATTACAATAAACTCAAAATTAACGTGTGTGAAGTAATCTACGGGTGGACAGCTATCAACGAAGTAGAAGTTGATAATGACAGGGAGAGTGTTTTAGATGTTAAATTTTGAACTGGGTGCAGTGTGACAGCGACGTGAGTGTTATACACCTGATGATGGCCGTCTGAGGCCGAAACATGTAGTGTAGGGAGCAAGATCAAAAGACACAAAATATATTGTTTGCACTTGAGACGGAGTTTATATCATTTATCTTAGTTTTGAGTTTGGTAGGAATACATGACCATATATTTATTCTTTCCAGGACTTTTACATGATTTGAAATTGGCCCTCCTCCTTCAGTCTGTCGGTTGGTCTGATATTTTGCTGTTGGCCTTTACCAGTAGTCATTCTTGGTCCCAAATCCTGATGGACTCATAACCATATTTTACTGTTTCATGACCCTGGGAGCTGTGGAACTCTTTGGTCAGCCTCCTACATTGGTTGGTCTGTCAAATAAATTGCTGCTGGCCTTTGCCAGCGAAGTCATTCTTGGTTCAGACCCCCACAGATCTCATAACCATATTTTACTGCCACATGACTTAGGGAATCATGCAACTCCAATCCCTCCTACTTTGGTCAGTCAGTCGCTTAAAGTGCTGCTGACACTTGCCAGCACAGTAATTCTTGGTTTAAAGTGCTGATGTGACCTGATATGACCCAGGGCAGTCAGGAGAAAGTAGCTGCATGACTCCCAGAGATGTGAAACACAAAAATAGATCATGAATCCTGCAGGACTTGGAACCACAAATGACTGTGCTGGTGATGGCCAGTAGCAATTTGCCTTATGAAACCTGCCTCACATCAGTCAGTTGGGTGTCAGCAGTTGGTGGTTAGCTGTGAACCACTGAGCACAGAAGCAGCCAGAGGAATCTGCATTGTTAGAAGCCACTGCCAAGTAATAAGTACACAACATTTTTCTGTCCAGATGACCTGTAGGACACACTCCTCAAGTATGGCCAATACACTGCAGAACACTGTGTGTGTAATGTTATGAAACTGACATTTCCAAGGGTTTCTGTTGCTATAATGATGTACTTGTTATATGCCACACTCATTCTGTAGTTGTTTCTTTGTGCCATCATATTTTTATACTTACATCAGAAAATTCCATATAAATTTTAAGTACCTAACATTTTTGAGTGGTCAGTATCTAGACTACATAGTGCCAAACAGTAGGATGGCTGGGTGTATTAATAAATTGGAAAGGATTTGGAAGGAAGCAGTTATGGCTTAATCGAGGAATTATTCCATAATTCGTCTGAAGGAACTAAGGAAAACCACAAAAGATACACAATCAAGGTTCTCAGTGTCCCAGCTAAGATCTGAACTATGAATCTTACAAACACAAGTCTAGAGTGTTGCTGGTATATCAACCTGCTCAATTCCTACATATTTTATTCTCAAATAGTACGACTAATCATGTCAACTTAAAATTACATGATATGTTATTTACTGAAAGCAGTCTCCCCCAGACTGATTCCAATACAGTCTATTTAAAACAATCTATGCCATTCAAAAATACTAGAATGAGTGTCCCCCCAACAACCACTATTTATCAAAATTTAAATAGTACAATTATAAGATTCCAGTACCTGTCAGACCTGCTCCTGCTACTCCAAAAAGGGAGCCAATAATGGCTATGCCAGCCGTGGACCCAAGAGCTGCTGCACTGGCTCCTCCAAGAAATGTGCCAACACCAGCACCAATAAGAGGAGCTGCTGCCAAACCTCCAGTGAGTCCCAACACAGCTCCACCACCAAGTGTTGCCAAGCCTATTAGAGCATAACGTTTTATTTTCTTTTTACGCTGACGCCGACCTAGCTCTTTCTTCTCATCTCTGAAATATAACAGCCAAACTTAATGAGCAACATCACATACATAGGATAATACATATTACTGGCTTCCCTCCTTATAATACTTTGCATGTTGGTGAACCCATGATCCTGACTTGATTGCCCTTTTGCCCTATGTTGGGTCAACCTTCAACTGCATTAGCAGGGTCCTGTCCTGGCACATCATAACATCAGTGAACTTCCATCACATTAAATGACATTACATTGCAAAAGATAGTACTCTTCACAGTGACAATCTCAAATCAAACAAACATGCACTAGTCTGGGTTTTACTGGGGACAAAGTTTATGAGATACGAGTTACTTCTCCACTTTAGTTAACAACCATGTTTTTTTAATGAAATGAGGTTGGAATTCATGCCCAAAATTGACTACTCAACTTACAATAGGCCCCAGCTCTAATGTGACCAGTATAGTGCTAACGTGATTAACCACTGTGGACTGTATTATATATGATATGGTTCCAGCACATTTGTTGCTTATCCTTATCCTCTTTTCTGCTCTATAGGGCAATAAAATACTACACACCACCATTTATAGAGCGGTTAATATATAAAGATTCCCAGTTCTCTCAACAGTTGTAGATTTGGAACAATACATGTAGATGCCAAGGGAAAAACAAGAAAGGACAGAATTATAAATTAAATTTCTACACATGAAACTGGAACCCAAATTTGTAAACAGTTATAAGAGAAGCAATTACAATGGTCTGGGGTTATGTAAAAAGAGTGGATAAAGAATGATACTCAAAAGGGTATTACAATTGAAAATTAAAGGAATGAGACCTCTAGGATGAGCCATAACAAGAGTGTCTAACCATTTACTGGAAGATACAAAGATAATAGGAAAAATCTGGCAAGAAATCAAAAGGGAAAGACTGTACAAATAAAAAAGAGGTTGCAGAGTTTTTGTCTGATTCTCAGAAATAATGCTAGGAGAGAGGGGGGAAGGGGCTCAAGTTATGAAGCATTACTTGCAACAACTAGCTAATTAGGATGCCAAAAATTAGATGGGCCACAGCTAGATTGGTTGATGCATTCTCTTGAAGTTGGAACAGGTTAATAGGCCTATAACCATGAAGTTGAAAAGGAACAAACTAGTTAATAAGTATTTCCAGATATGACTGAGTAATTTAATATTTCAAATAATATTCAAATATTTAAGGAAGTTTAATTTTTAAAGAACACACACACTTACTCAGTAAGTTCCTTTTGGTCATCTGTCAGATAGTCCACAGCTGATTCCTCAAGCAAATCAACAAGTTCCAATGGTACATCCAGCAGTTTGGCAACATGGCGGATTAGAACACGCATTCTGGCATCATACTCTCCTACAAAATATTAACATATTTGAATGAGTACATACTTTGCAACACCCTGTTCTCAAACACCCTCAGTCTCTGCTCATCCCTTAATGCCATAGACCAAGTTTCACACCCATACAGAACCATATACAAAATTATAGTTCTGTATATTCTAATTCTTAAGTTTTTAGACAGCATATGAGAGGACAAAAGGTTTTGGACTGAATGGTAGCAAGCATTACCTGAATTCAATCTCCTCTTTAATTTCAGCCTGAATCCAATTTCGATTTGCTACTGTTGTTCTCAATATTTGAACTGTGCCACATTTTCAAGGGATCTATTAGGTATATCTTTATGTTCTGAATATATAAAAACAATTCCACTATTGAAATGTGAGAATACTTACCAGATACCAGTCCTTGAAGCAATAAAAATGTAAAAATTAAATTATTCTACTATTTATTTTTCAATGTTAAGCTAGCAAAACAACACTTGGTTTACTTTATGACATGCTGCTCCGCACTAAACCACACTACAGCTCCAGTACAAACCTTTGTTTCATATTACAAGATGCTGCATACCTAACATACATGTAAACATTATTAATACATTATATTTAATGTTTTAGACTTCTCTAACTAAATTTGCTCACATGTGGTGTGTAGGTATGAATCCCTACCATTTCACAAATACAGCCTGCCAGAGATATACAAAGGAAATTAGATCTTATACATAAGGAATGTATACAAAAATAATCACAAAGTCCACCTGGTCACTGCAAAGAAAATTATTATCACTATATTACTTTCACTTTGTCATGTGGCACAAAACTGTGATTAATTAATATCATTTAATATATCTTTTATTTTATTTATTTACAGCTTTTTTAATGACACTCTCAGACTAGCAGTAGCATGACTAACAAACAGCAAACTCAAAAAGGATGTAGAAGGAAGCACTCATGGCATACTTTGAGGTACTATCAAAGTATCTGCCAAGAGGAACTGAAAACATGACAAACATCAGTCATGGTATCCACTTGAGATTCAAACAACGAATTACTGTTTGAGTCAATTTTCTATCTATTTTATCCAGTACTTTCTTCTGCAAGACAAATAAAATGATGGTGGTGGTACTCACAAAGAAAAAACTGTCAATTTTTAGTCCAACAGAAGCCTATTTTTCTAGTGTTTTATAGTATATTCCATACTAAAAATATTCGCTGTGTTGATCAATATGCAATCTTTTATCAGGAACACTTAATTTACTTTTAACATGTCTGCATAGAGTGCCATGCAAGGCATGCTACTCAGTTGCCATCTGTCACTGTGGATTGCAGTGCACTGAACATGACGACTGCATATGCTTCATGCTTCCATTTGATGAATAGTATTTGAAACACAAGTCTACTTGGGTATACTTCGAGATACAGGTCTAGGTTATCATTTTGTATGTGCATCAACTGGATTTGTACATTTTTCTTGGAGTAAACAATCTTGGAAATGTTGACTGTAAATCAGCTGTTAATGGGCATTTCATCAGCTAGCAATTTATCAAATGTGAATACTGAAGTGAATGCTTCTTTTATTTTATTCAATGCAATAAGTTTGATTTCTATGATGCAAAAATAATGAATTATTACTACTTCTGGAGCTATTGTTATTTGCCATGTCTGAATTTAAATCCTCAGTCGAAATTAGTCCTGCTCTGGATTCTATATCTATGTACATAGATCTCTGGAAGACATATTAAATATGAATATGAATATTAGGAGCTGGGATTTAAATCCTCCCATTAGGAAGGGTCTATAACAGCTTTCTTTGATATTCTGGGGGAGGGGGGGAAGTGCTGGTACTGTGTACTGTTGCATACCACAAGGAAAAAATACTAACTAGATATCATACAAGTCATACTACAAATGGAGATGACATAATTCTGCAAGAGGACCAAAAAGTTGCTGCAACAGAATATGGGGAAGGAATATCTCATGCTACCGACCAAGGGGCCCTGATGGAAGAACGAGATGGTACAGCGATCATTACTGCTCACGGGGAGGCTACAGATGTCCAAGGAAACGAAGCAGTGAAAAATTCAGCAGACTCACTCTCTAACGGCGGGGAGCGTCAGGAAGTTCGTACGTCAACCAGAACGAGGAAGCCCCCACTAAAGCTAAGTAAAGATTTTTTATAGATAAGCATAGCGCTGGTATACTTAGGAATAACAAAAATAATAAATACAATACTAATATTCAAATATTTCATCAAAACGTGCAAAGTCTAAAAAACAAAAAACTAAATATCGATGTGTTACTAACTGATAAAACACTAGAGTTAGATATACTATGCATCACTGAACATTGGTTAGATGAAAAGGAAATAGATTATTATAATTTTGTAAACTACTCCCTGGTTTCAAAATTTTGCAGGAAAAATAAACGACATGGAGGCTCATGCATCTATGTCAAAGAAAATCTAGAAGCAAAACCTTGTAAATTGTTTGAACACTATACACGAGAAGAACATTTTGAGACTAGTATAATTGAACTCACTCAATCCAATACAGTTATTATGTGTGTATACAGAACTCCTAACAGTAACATCAATATATTTATTGAAACTATGGATATAATAATAAATGAGTTACTAAATAAAGATAAGAAAATTATTATGGTAGGTGACTTCAATATAGATTTCTTAGGAAACAGGGTAAACTTACAACTACAGACAATGATAAATTCATACGGCTTGGAAGCAATAGTGGATGTTCCAACGAGAATCAGTTCCAGAAGTCAAACGGCCATAGATCAAATAATATTAAACAAGGGTTTATGGGAATATAAATTTGAGGTTATTGAAACAGGATTTTCTGACCATAGCGCGCAGATATTACAAGTACAGATGCAGCAAGAGAATAAGAATCAAAAAAGGCAAGCCAGAGCAGAGAGAGAATATAGAATGGTCAGAACTTATAGTGAAGAAAATGTTCAATATCTAAATTATCTACTAGACAAAGAGACTTGGGAGCTTGTTTTTAAACAAAAATCAGCGAACAATGCATATAATGAATTTCTAGATACTTTTCAGTATTATTATGAAATAGCAATACCAAAAAAATGGGTAAAAAGTAAACAGCATGAAAACAAATGGATTACCTCAGGTATAAGGGTATCAGGAAATAGACTTCGATTTCTTAATAGGCTAATGAAAGAAGGGAATATATCAGAAGAATTTAAAAAATACTATGGTCAGTACAAGAAAATTTATAACAAAGTGATCAGTGAAGCAAAAAAATTATCTAATAACATACAAATAAGAACTTCCGGAAATAAACCAAAGGCTATGTGGGACCTAATAAAGGAGGAGCTAGGCAGTCGGAAAAAAAATAAAAATATTGAAATAAACACTGAAGGAGGAAATACACAGGATCCAAAAATTATAGCAAATGTTTTCAATGAATATTATACTAGCATTGCACACAAAATCTTAAACGACAAATCATTATATACAAACAAAGAAGCTAATGACAATGCAGTAAAGTATAACAACAACAGTATGTTCTTAATCCCAACTACTGAAGAGGAAGTGGTTGGCATAATCAAAAGACTTGGTAACAAAAAATCAACAGGTATAGATGACATCCCAGAGTATATCATCAAAAAATGTTATCCCAAGATAATATCTGCCTTAACATATACAATAAATCAGTCACTCTCAACCGGATACTTCCCTGACCAGCTAAAAATGGCAAAAGTGAAACCCTTGTATAAGAAAGGAAGCGAAACGGATGTTGCGAATTATAGACCAGTATCACTAATTTCTGTTTTTTCAAAAATAATTGAAAAAATTATGCATAAAAGACTTTTATCCTTTTTAAATAACCACAGTTTAATTAGTAACAAACAGCATGGGTTTTGCAAAGGAAAAACAACAAAAACAGCAATTGCAGAGTTCATAGAAGGGGTCTATAAATCGCTAGATGAGAAAGAAGTAAGTATAGGGTTATTTCTGGATCTGTCAAAAGCGTTTGACCTAGTTAATCATGACATATTGCTAAGAAAGATGACAAGAATGGGAATACGAGGGGTTGCACTAAAATGGTTTCAAACATATCTAGAAAGAAGAGAACAGAAAGTGGAAATCACATATAGATGTAGAGAAGCGAATGTAAGCATTAACTATCTATCTCAGAGTAGACCCGTAAGACATGGAGTCCCACAAGGTTCTGTTCTTGGACCAATTTTATTTTTGCTATATATTAATGATCTAGAAGCAGGTATTGAACAAGGAAAACTAACGTTTTTTGCCGATGATATAAGTATTTTTATATCAGGAAATAGTGTTAATGTTGTCCAAAGGAAAATAAACGCATTAATAAATAAACTCACAGAATGGTTTGAAAGTAACAGATTAATTATTAATAAAGAAAAAACGATAGCAATATCCTTTCACCAACCACAAAAAATACAGCCAGAATGCCCACCAATAAAACTATATGATAAAGTCATCAATTATACAGAACATACCAAATTTTTGGGAATGTCGTTAGACAAAAAATTAAGCTGGTCCACACATACTCAAACACTAGCAAGTAAGTTATGTAAAATATGTTTTGGCTTGCGAATAGTCAAAAAAGTATCAGGATTAGAGACTGTTCTTGCTTTATACTATGCGTATTTTCAATCCCTGCTATCATATGGATTGATATTCTGGGGCAATTCAGCGAATGCAAAATTGATCTTTAAGATACAAAAGAGAGCTATTAGAACTATAATGCAAATACAAAAAACAACCAGCTGCAAACAATATTTTAAATTGTTACATATATTACCTCTACCAAGTCTGTATATATATGAAATATTAGTTTACATGAAATCCAACTTGAATGTTTTCATCACTAATTCAGCAGTACACTCACACAATACAAGAAAAAAAGACAACTTATTCATAGTTCCATGTAGGACGAGTCTGTGTAAAAACAACTTCAATAATATTGGACTTCGTCTTTTAAACCACTTGCCGCAATATATAAAGGACATACCAGCACTATACAAATTTAAAAAGACTTTGAAAACATTTCTACTTGAACATTGTTTTTATAGTATAGATGAATTCTTCTTGTTTGGGGATAAATCCTAGTTAACATCAATATTACCAGATAATTCAAGAATAAGTGACTTGTTGAGCTTATACCAGCATGCTATGAATGTATACTGCGCAGTTCTCTTCTGCTTAAAGGAATCAAGACACCATGTTGGATGTGATAGAAAGGACATCATGAGATGGAGGGACGTCTACGTAGGCCGCTTAGAGAGAGATAGAGAATACCAGGCCATCAAGAAGGGCACCAATCTGCTGAGAACATCACATTAGCTATCAATATCATTATTCTAAGGCCACGCCATAGCTTAAGCGATTAGTCGCTGGCTTCCCACCACTGTGATCTGAGCAAGTGGGATTTGTGATGGACAAAATGGCGCTGGGGCAGGTTTCCTCCGAGTACTTCGGTTTCCCCTGCCAATGTTCATTCCATCAAATTCTCCACAAGTGGGAGTATCTAGCCGGTTCTAGATTGTAATCAGCAGTGGAATTGTAACTATTGTAATTTTAATCTGCTTATGTATCGGATTGTTAATGTTCAGAATTGGCTTGACTTGTCATGTATCATGTACAGTGATCTGCAGTGACGAGGTGGATCAATCAATCAATCAATATTATATTGTCATATTATTATCTCTGTATTGCTATATTATTATTATTATCATGTATTATTATATTGTCATATTATTTCTGTATTATTATATACTTATTATTATTTAGTATTAGTATTAATATTAATCTTTGACTTGTCCCATATCATGTATAATGATCCATGGATGAAATAAAATTGAATTGAATTGAATTGAATATCATAAAATTTTGTCTTTAAGAGAGAGATCTGGCTATATAATAACTTTCTGTGACTGGACTCTATTCTGTGTCAGTTCAAACCAATGTATTAAATAAATCTAATTTTAATTATAGTAAGACATCCATCATTCCATGTGGTTCCTTACCTCCATGAACAGCTAGCATTATAAGATCCTCTATGACCAACAACGGTTTTCCATTAAGTGCTGGTTCACTCATCAATAATTCCACATAAGCATCAGGTGACTGACTTCCCTCACCCTCAATCAGAGTAATCATCACAGCTTCAACCTAATGAGACAAAATACTTTATGTTCATTTACTGTCTTGTGAACATTTGTAGACAACTCTACTGGGAAAACTAGTTTACTGAATCCGTTACGTGACCTGTGGCTTAGCAGTGTTCTGGGTAACTCTACAATGGACATATCATGTATGACAAAGTGTCTGTGACCCAGGCTTCATATATGGAAACATGTTAACCTTAAAATTAATGCACCATACATAACTCTGGTTGTCAAAACTCGTTTAAATGTTGTTAAAACAATTTTGTGGCTGTGATAGTGTTTTTCAATTGGTGGTCCAGGGACCAGTGCCAGTTTTGTGGCTTAATTTATGCTGGTCTGCATAGTATAAGACATGTTAAAACACAGCTGGAAAATTAACATGCTACTAATAGTGGCTCTTTCCAGGTTTAATTTTCTTTTAGCAACTACTGCAAGTGATAAATATGCGTGATTATGGTAACTCTTTCATTTTAGTACTACATGATGAAATAAATTATATATTACAGGTAAACATGTTAGATATGCTAGTAAAATCTGAGTTTTACATCATTATTTGTACTGTAATTTTCTGGTCTGTAAATCAAAAAAGTTTGAGAACCACTGACTTTATGTGTCATGATCTGGGGTTGCCTGCCCATTTACTGCCTAAGTATTTCAAAGAATAAGAAGTTCTGGAACGAATTGATCGCCTACTTTCCTTTCATTATATGTTGAGTATCTGTTAGTCACTGGCTTCCCACTGCGGTGGCCAAGGTTCGATCCCGGGTCTGGTCAAGTGGGATTTGTGGTGGACAAAGTGGCGCTGGGGCAGGTTTTCTCCGAGTACTTCGGTTTCCCTGCCAGTCTTCATTCCACCAATTGCTCCACAATCACCCTCACCTATCATCTGGGGCTGGTACAATGAGCCAGAAGTGGCCACAGTACAAGGGACTTAGTCTCACCCCACTAGCAATAATAAAAATAAAATCTGACATGAGATGGACTGCACAGAAATCACTGTGTCCTACAGGTTTGCTCTTGTCATGTGTATGTTTGCTGCCATGGGACTTGTATAAAACTGTACAAATTGCATAAGGTTTGACATTCCTCTTATTAATAAAATTAACTTATTTTATTACATTGTATACATTTATCAGTATTGTATTAAAAACGTGTATGCTATTGGATGACAACTGTAATTCTTAGTTGTGACTGTAACTAGGACGATCTCCACACCTGCATGAGAATGTACTCTCAACAGGATTTATGGAAGGCGAATAAATGGAATGGGAATGTTTAAAGAGCCACTGCCTAGTAATACTGGGTGGGGGGCACAGACATGGAGATAGCAAGGTGATCTTATAAGCCTCTTTTTTTTTTAATAAGAAAGAAGGCTAAAAGTTACTTTAGTCAAGGGCACAAACCAATAAGACACAAAATTAACACTACACAACCTCACCAGTTAAAACAGCACCACAGAATAATCAAATGCACAATAAGTTACAAAATAAATTTCAAATATATTAAAATGGCACATCACCTGCTTAGGTAAATGCAGATGTTCAAGGATCAGTTTTATACATTGTTGATTAAACTTCTGATCCCACTCATTGTCAAATAGTTCGTGAAGAGCCAAGGCACAGATTGCAGCATATGAATAAACTCCAGCATCTGAGAGCAGAGTGCGAAGCTCACCCACTTTGTGTCCTGCATAAAAAAACTCAGTTGCCACAAGGAAATGTTCTACATATGATCACATCTGTATGAGGCAGTGGATCCTAAGAGACCAGAATTTTCAAGAAGATTTTTATCTTCCAGACTGTGATTCCACGTAGTCTGGCAGAAATCTGACATATCAGAGGAATATGCTGCCTTCCCCTTCAGGATGAAAGAGTAAACCAAGCAACCATGAAGCAAAAGCAAGCAGATTACAGGAATCTGCTTGCTTCTTACTTGGATAATTCTTTCAACCTGAAGATGGCAGCAGTATGTACCTCTGAAACAACAGTAAACTTCAATCAGACTCTATAGTGTCACATCCCAGAAAACAGCATTCTTCACAGTCAGTCAGGGAAACCTCAAATCTAACATACCTCCAACATTTCTCTACTTCATACTAAAATCCTTTACCTCTTTCATGTAGTGATGTCGCATTGTCAGTCTCTTGTGAAAGTTCAGCAGTCTCACATTTCTCACACTCTTCTTCATTGGTTTCCATCACAGAAAACAAAGGCTAAAAGTGAACCTGTAAGACAAATACAATCTGATTTGAAAGTGATGTGCACCAAAAAAGGTGTTATTAAACTTTAAAGAGTGCTGAACTGGTTATTGACAGTACTAGTTGCAGCAGCGGTATTTGGGTGGTGGTGGTCATAGTATTAGTATTAGTAGCAGCAGCAAGGGCAGTAGTAGTAGTAGTAGTAGTAATTTATTTGGATACTTTTTTTAACACATTCACTATGGACATGACAGTATCAAACTTATTCTAATTTTATATTATGTCAGATCTTATGTTGTGGAAGGTTTCTAGAGATTATTCAGTTGAATATGTGTCTCTCTTTCTGAATGTTTCATTGTATTTACAAACTGACTGTCATGACTACTGATATCGACATCATCACCTAAATTTTCAAAAGCTGTGATTTTAACATGATACTGTTCTTTACCTTCTACCTCATTTAGTGTCTTGAGACTGAATCTCTCCATATCAAATTCTCTGCTGCTCATTTACTTACTGCCAATCTCTACCTAACTTTTGTAACAGCCAGGCAATGATTGGTGTCACAGTCCACTCTCCACACCTCAAGGTCATATCCTATCAATCAAAATATATGTTTGATCTGATTGTGTGTCTTTCCAACAGAAGACATCCAAGTAAATTTATGAATTTGATTTGTTTCATTCTGGTCCGTCACACTAACAATTACAAATATAAATCACTCCGTCCAATGTGACCTGTAAGTTTTTTACTACATAAAAACTTAATACCCTTACATGTTTCGGTCTCTGTGGACCATCTTCAGAGGGCAAACATCACTATAAATGTACTAGGTATTGTAGCATATAAGTGTACGTACCTTACGTCTAAACAACTTATGTGATGGTGGTTTCCTATTTATAGTGATGTTTGCCCTCTGAAGATGGTCCACAGAGACCGAAACATGTAAGGGTGTTAAGTTTTTATGTAGTAAAAAACTTACAGGTCACATTGGACGGAGTGATTTATATTTGTAAATTTATGAATGTTCTGATGTGGGAACATTCTACTCTTGAAAATTAGATTTTTGGATGTGGCAATGTATACTACTGCATCATTACTAATTCCATGTAAACTCTTGTTCCCAGTTGTTGGTTAGAAAATATCTTTTCTGCCTATTTTAGCAATGAAATATTGTGTTAACATTTTCAAGTGGTATATACAGAAGGTATCGAATACACATTCTGGTTCCTCATAGAAGCTGTTCTTTGTAGCATCAGTTTTATCCTCTGTTTGGGCAGGAATATTCAGAACAATATCACATCAGTGACCTGTTAGTATTATTCTACCCTCTTAACTGCTTACATGATTCTCTCAGGCACAAAAACAAAATCATGTCCCTAATTCATGATTCTCATTCCCATTTCAATACAAAAATGTATAATGACCTACTGCTTCAGTGCCACCTTTGTCCCATCTGATCTCCTGTGCTCCCACTAAATCTAACTAATACTTTGTTATTTCTCTTGCAGCTGTTGTCAGTGAACATGCCCTATACAGGCTACTTGCATTCCATGTGCCGATCTTATGTTCATTTTCCTTTGCTTGGGTCATTTCAAAGAATCTGTCCAAGTCCAAGGTTCTACATAACACTTTCTTTATAATGAGTTGTCATTAGACCCACACCCAACTCCCGTGCTAATAATGAATTAAAATATGGAAGTGCTCAAGACCTAAACTCAGGAACACAGGAAAACAATGAGAAACTTCAGTCAGGACAGTCAGCCTCGAGACCATGACTTGGACCAAAGGTGAAGTTGGGGCATTACCCACACAACTGCAATAGTGGGTTTGAAAACCAGGGTAACTTGTTGGATTAAGAAGTATTCACTTCCAACAGCACTGAAAATTTGTTGGTAAAACTTGAGAACGTGCACTGTTTAATATGTGGTGTGAGGGAGTCATACAAGTAGAATGCCAAGTGTGGAAAGTGGGAAGTGTCAGATTCTACAATTTTATCTAGGCATTGATGGCATACAAAACTGCTGTCACAATTACAAAATAAATCATAACTTTTTATGACCAAAGCTGGGGAGTATTTGTCACGTCTTCTCAATAAAATTCATATTTCCTATGAAATAAACAACTTATGTGACCTTGTTCTCTTAAAAAACTTAATATCCCTAACCAGGCAACAGCTTAGAAATGAAGCCCCAAACTTATAGACCAAAGACGTGATTATGTGCTGCCTGGTCAGGAGTCTAGCACACCTTAGGTCGCTGTGACTGATGAGTATGGAGCAATGGCGGAATGACGATTATCAAGGGAAAATCGAAGATACTGGGAGAAAAACATATGCCAGTGCCTCTTCGTTCACCGCAAATTTTACATGACGTCGAGCGGGACTGACACCGGGCTTCCGCAACAAATAAAAAAAAGCACAGTCTTATTATTTATTATTTACGGCAACACTGTAATAAATTCAATGAGCGGTCCTCTCGATTACGCAGAAATTCAGACCTGAAGATGACGTGAGCATGTTCCTCTGAAAAGATGATACCCACCTAAGAGATTAAACGGTGTCTCGGTCAGTTTGATGACAATATAAATTCGCACTCCCATGAAAATCTCAGCCTTATAACTTAAGTGCAATTAATTTAGACTCACCTTATTACTCAGTCTTGTGTGCAACATTTATATACAAAAATATGCGACAAGCTTCAAATGTCACGGATTATGAGCAAAACTGTCTGAAACTATAAACTCTAGTTTACTTTGAATTAACAGATTGTGTCAGAAAAATAAAAAACAAAATGCTAAAACACGAAAGCGTTAAAGCCAGGCCACCTCCTCTTCTACACGAACCCAAACCACAATCAAAACATATCCAGCTGCCTTCCATTGAATCACTTCCAATTGCAAAGAGGTGTTGGGGTCTTGTGGGTTGCGTTCATGTCAGTACAGGGCGTACAGGTTTTGCGGTACGTGGCGCGGTGTGGAACATTTTCAGTGGAATATTTCTTACATGGAAAATGGACTAGTGTTTTATATTGAGCGATATTGGGTAACTGCCTTTGTTAATTAGTATGAATTACGAAGACGCTGAAGTCTGAATGTAATCACAAGATCACGATGTCAGGCCNCTGAGGAGGGTGACAGACTCAGGGCTTTGAAACTGTGTGGAACTTCGGATGTGAGCACAGATGATGTTTTAATTACAACGCTCACAGCCAAAAAAGGACACATCACAGGGCACAATATACACAAAATATAGGAAGAACGACTTCCATAGTGGAGGAATGACGTAGTACGCGAGTTTGAGTTAGGGCTTGTAAGATGATGGATATTAACAAATTTTGATATATATAAATTTTATTAAAGTTAGCGAAGAGCGTGCATTTTGGATAATTTTATAAATGACACATGATGGCATGCAGTGCAATAGCTTGACGTAAATAACACACCTGAGGATGGCACAGTGATGCCAAAACATGTAGTGAAGTGACATGTGAGATTGAGTACACTACAAGACGGCCAATACATGCAAATCATGAAGAAATAATCTAGTTGAATATGATTGACAGATTTGTTATAAAAAAGTGCAGGAATAGGATTAATTGCATCAATTTTTTTTTCATGTAGATAAGATTGCAAATGTATTTCTCATTTCCCTTAATTTAAAGGCACTAATCAGAAATACTGTGACCTCGTTTAATATTAGTCTCTACAGACAATAGCATTTGAT